AGTAGGTAGGTACTCCACACAACATGCGATTTTACTATAAATTACTTATATTGCAAATATAAAAATACCAATTTTTATTTATTTATCAATTAACAAATAGTATTATTAAAAAAAAAACTTTAAAGACGCACTTGAATGAAACAAAGATAATTTGCTAATTTATAATAACCTTATTTATAGTTTCTCTCCACGTACGGAAATCGAACCCACGGCCACCACTAATCAAATATATAAGTCCAATACTACTATTATACTACATGAGAACATTGCAAAAATAGTTATCTGTCTCGTTTTCACTATAATCATTCGTAATAAGTAACGTTGTAACGAGTATCTAGAAGTTACCATTCCTTGGAAATGGTACTAAGGAATTCCTTTTAAAGTGAATAAGTTTATTATATCTACATTTTTGTACACAAACAATTTTTATAAAGAAAATTTTAAATGCTTATGTGTGTATATTTGTTACTCCTTCAAATATAACGACTTGGCAGATTTGGATGAAATTGAGTACACAGGTAGGTTATGACCAGGAGTAATACAAATGCTCATTTAGGGGTAAAATTAGCCAAAAGGTGCCTGTATATAATATAAACTTAATATTATAAAAAGTCAGAGATTGTTTGGTTGTTTGATTGTTTGTTTGAACGCGCTAATCTCAGGAAAAACTAATCCGATCTGAAAAATTCTTTTCGCATTAGACGCCCCGTTTACTGAGGAAGGCTATAGGCTATATATCATCATGCTACTACCCAAAGGGAGCGAAGCAGTATAATAATATATAGTCTATCTATTCCATACTTACCGATAAAACGTACCTAGGGGCGAACCCGAGCGAAGCGATGGCGAACCGCTAGTATTGTATATACAAAAGGTGAAGCCAGGCTAAGTCGCTAGTACATAAAATAATCATATGAAGGTACATTAACATCTAAATAATACATTCTTTACATATTGAATTGTAATTTATATCAAATTCACAGAAGTGTAAGGAGCACAGACGGATTGGCGATATGCTTGATGTATGTGACAAGGCAGTTATTTCGGCGGACTCCGAGAAGTACGGTACAAGTTATAAATATTGTCATCATTACTTTCTTTTGTTTTAAAATTAACATTTGATTGATACTTCGACAGGTAAAGTAAATTCAATATTTTAATAATAAATATGTTGAGACATTAACACACAGCACCATCTAGTTCCATGGTAAGGTACGAGGCTTGTGTTATGGATACCGGATAGTTGATACACTACACATATATAACTTTAAATATATACTCGTAAATATTATCTTTTTTATTGCGTCAGGACACAAGCGTATACAGTATAACCCACTAGATTTTAGTCACGATCGGATCAATGGTTCAATAACGCGTAGAATACAAACATACGAATGTTCATTTTTATTTATATAGAAGATTAATGCCCGATTTCACCAACTACCCATAAGCTACCACCTACGTATGGGATCCCTAGTTTAAAAGTCCCCTAAACTGGCCCCTAAATTAAATTTCGTTTTTACCATCGTCAAAGCCCGTATTTCTAGTACCTATATTTAGGTGGCATTTTAACATTTAGGTAACCCCTAACTGTCGGTGAAACAGAAACTATCCCCTAACAGCCCCCTAACTATGCTTAGGGGATCCCTTAAACTTAGGTGACGTTGGTGAAATCGGATATAAATATCGTAATATTGTAAATCAAGAGTCGCTACGTTAGGTAATAAAAAGTGAAGTTGCATCTTATATTTTATTTCAGGTAAACAATAAAGAAATGAAAAATGTGTTAAATCTGGCTTCATTCATACGTATGTATGGACAGCACTCATAATCTATACATTAACTATAGGTAGGTATCTGTAAACGAGGTAGAATTTGAATTTTAAGAGTATCATAAAAGTTAGATTATTAATAATATGTCATATAAATAATCTAAGCATAAAACCATAATAATGATAAACTATTATTTGTGTTACGCACACTTCCGCTACTTGCACCAATTTAAATGTCATAAAAACAAACAAGAAAGAAAACGTATCGAAAATTAAATTTTGCCGCTTCTGCTATTCTTTTTTTTATTTCAATGTAGATTACAGAAATAAATGGGCCATGAACAAATTGACGTTCAAATCTTTTTCAAATGGCCAGTACTTTTAAAGTTATGCTAATAAAATCCCTAGACAGTGTTGATGTGTGTATTTGTTTTAAGATACTTAAATCAAGAATAATGAGCATTAGGTCCTATAGTAAATCTACTAAAATCATATATATATATATATATATATATATATATATATATATATATAATATGGCAGTTAAGTTGATAAAAAGTTGCTCATATGTCTATACTACTATAAAGTGAAGATTTTGTGTTTGTTTGAACGCGCTAATTTGTGGAACTACAACCGGAAAAATTATTTTTGCATTTTATAGCTTATTCATTAAGCAAGGTCACTCTGACATCACTTTACGATTCACGAGAGACGACTAATTCTACAAAAATAAAAGATATAACCTACTTCCACTCCAGATCTCACTCAAATCTGTTCAACCATTGCAGCTTACAGCAGTAACAAGCACACTCACTCAAACTTTCGCATATACAGGGTCAATCTTAATTTACCGAAAACCTTTCGGGAATATACTATTAACATCATAACAATAACATCTGTAACAAAAAAAAAATCTTAAATTTTCATACAAAAATAAAAATATTTTTATTGCACCGTCTAAACGGTAATAGTCCTAGCATCTGGTCAAGTTTAAATGAGTAAGCGCAGCCTGCTGCAACCCTCGGCCCTCCACCATTACCACACCACCAGGGACGCGCTTTCTTTTTCTAATGCTGGACTATTTCCGTTTAGAAGGTGCAATAAAAATATTTTTATTTTTGTAAAATTTAAGAAAGGTTATTTTTTTGTTACAGATGTTTTTGTTATGATGTAAATAATATATCCCCAAAAGGTTTTCAGTAAATAAAAATGACCCTGTATAGCATTAGTGTGACAGCAAATGTTATTTTCCCTACACGTATACTCTATTTAATTAGTACAGGAGTAATGAACATTTAATTTTCTAATGGCACTTTTACGCAAACATCGTTTGTTCAAAGTTTACGTTTCAACCACGTGTGGGTTCCCGGTTCAGTGACATTTTATTTATAATATCAAATACCTTTAAACGAGCAATTATTGTATATTTATTTATTTATTCATACCGGCGATCTCGGAAATGGCTCTAATGATTTCGCTAAAATTTGGTATGTGGTGGTTTTTGGGGGGTGAAAATTCGATTTAGATTAGTCTTATGTCTGGAAAAACGTGTGTTTTTGGGTTTCCATGCGGTTTTCTTTTGCATTATTGTACTAACAGGCAAAATATGGTCGCTAATTTCACACGCTCGGGCATAAGCATCGTGGTCAATCGGACAAGGCGCAAGATTGACAATCACAGGTGTCTGAGTTTAAATCCCGGTCGGATACAAAGTATTTACTTTTGTTTCTTTTTGTATTTATTCAAGTTTTTTGTTTATTTTTTTGTTAAGCTAATTTAAAAAGAAAATTGTATTTTTGGCCACAAAATCTGAGCGAATTCAGAACCCGCTTCACTCGGTTTCCCAAGCGAGAGCGCTACCACTGCCTATATAACACATAACTTGTACATATATAATATTATGAATATTAATATATTTATTATAATCTATGGCAATGTTGCTAAGAACTTTTTGTATCCACATCAAAATATATTTTATCGTAGTCTAAATAAAAAAGTAAGTAATTAATAATTCAAATTTTATTAAATGATAATAAAGCATGCGATATATAAACTTACAGCGTAACTTCAAGGCTTCATTATTGCTACAATATTCTATTGATCATTGATTTATTTCTAAATAAACATGGAAAGGAGCTCCTTTATTTTATACATTTTATAAGAAAGTAAGATACATACCATATATTATCTATATGTATTTAATAAACAGTGAATCAAAATCAATATTTAACCTAAACATATTTTCATCAATTATTAAAACCACATCAAAATCGATACATATTTTACATGAGATATTTACATAAATCAAACAAAAATGAACATTTTGATCAAAATTTTACATATTACATACAAATTAAAATGGCAACACCGCTCTTACCGTTTTTAAAAATATACTAAAAATCTGTCCGTACGTACGTCTGTGGTCGCGAAATAAAAGGAGACTGAAGTTATTTATTTGTTCACAATAAGCGAGATCTCTTAACAATGGGAAGAGGGTGTAGATATCTAGACACGTTTATTGAGGCGCAAAAACTTATTAAAATATTTGCCATCAAAAATACTTAAAAACTCCCGATTTTTGGATTTTTTTCCTAAAAAATCATTGAACCGAGTACAAGCACATACCTTGTCAAAATTAAATTCAACAATCATTTAAAGAAAAAGAAAGATTGGAGACGCAAAATGAAAAAAAAAACATACTTATAAAATTTACACAACACTTACTCCATAGCTCTAATATACTAGATAATTAAGACAATAATTTTCTATCCCTTTCACTTAATACAATCTGCCTCATAAATAAAAGAGATAGAAATATAGCTATGAAATCATGTAAAAATCAATTAAAATCATTTACAACGATTGATAATATCACAAAAGGTCATGCAGAATTTGACTATAGGATCGCTTTTGCAACAGAATCATATTGTTGTAATTTGTCTGAAAATTTTATAAGTACCTTCTTTTATTTACAGTAATAGAATAGTGCTAAGAACAAGATTAAAGATTCAAAGTTAGAAAAAAGAGAAGTAAATGTATAGAACAACTATTGAACTCAATTTTGTCAGTCTTCCAATTTCTTTTAAAGTAACATACTTTTTGATAGCAATTTAAAATTTTATAAGATAGGATTTAACTGCATTAGTGTTGTATATGGTATGAGTGTGAGTGAGAGAGTGAGTGAGTGAGTTGTATATGGTACGAGTGTTTAAGGTTAAAATAGAACTACATCTGCCTAAATCTGCTGAGATCAACATTTGGTATAAGTGGACTATCACATTGCACTGGTTCGTTCCTGTAAAAATAATATTATTAGTTATTTAAAGACTTAATTATTTGAAATAAATGATTAAATTAAAAATAAATTAAACTATTTAACCGATTTCAAGGAGGTGGTAACCAATTGATAGGTTTATTTGTACATATAATGTATCTAATGTATGGGTGAGAATGGTAAACCGATTTAGGTTTTAAATCAAAAGTGTGTGTTTAGCCCTTGTTAACGTCCTATTTCTGACTGTGTTTCAGACCCGCAAGGCCGGGGATTCGAACCCGCTTCACTTGGTTCACCTCAAGGGTGGTCCCGTATTATTGCAAAGAAAAATATCCACCACTAAGATGGAATTGTTCGTCTCAAAATGATTTTGAGTTCGATGTAGCATTTAATTAAAATTAATTATAATAAGTCACAGTTACATTGAGATACACACTTTATGCCATTTTGTTTTGGAATTTGATCAAAATCGGTCACACAGATTAATTCTAAGCTAAAAAGTGGAACAAGAGATGCAGGTGACTTAGTATGCTCCACTACTACATACATATATGGTAATAGAAAATTGACACCTCAGTCAGAGTTGAGATTACAGGAAATGGCGATCTCATTCCTTTTATATGTATGTTATCTACTAGCGGCTCGCCCTCGCTTCGTTCGAGTTCGCCTCTAGACAAAAACAAATCTATCCCACGGGAACCGTATATTTTTCCGGGATGAATAGTAGCCTATTTGTTATTCTGATGTATGAACTATATTATTGTAAACTTTCATTAAAATCCAATAATTAGTTTTTGTGTACTAAGCTGTATAAGTTACTATAGTATTTTAACGATCCCACGGGAGCTCTTTAATTTTCCGGGATTAAAAGTATCTAAGATGTTGACCGGAGATAATAGGTACCGCCATGCAAAATTTCATTTAAATCGCTCTAACAGTTTCGGAGATTAGCCCGGACATACAGACAAATAGACAGACAGACAGAGAAACAAAAAAATTGAAAAAAATTTGGATTTCTTCTATTTCTCTTCTTACATCCCTCTGACTCGATTTTGAGCATTTTTTTATGTACAGACATTAGACCTCTACGGTTTTATTATATGTATAGATATAGACAAAATATTTTTTCTAGTCGTCTTATAAGTATATCTGATATGTCAGAAGTAAATCATTAAGTCTAGAGACTTAATTTATTTTTGTTTTCTTGTTTTCTCTACTAAAATATTTTATAATTAAGGAAAATTATTGATAATTTTATATGCATTTCAAAAGTAAAATTAATACATACCCTGGTAAGTCAGATCGAAGAAACGCGTTCGGTGGTTGAGTAAATAATTCGATCCCATCATTATTATCGCATACGATTCTAGACAGTGTGGCTTTCTTAATTTCAGCTAGTTGACCTGTAAAATAAACAACAAGCAATATTATTTCGAGACTGTCAAAAATAACCAAAATGACAAATATTTTGTGTTTTTTTTATTATAATTTTGGTTGCTTTGCTTTATAATAAGCAAAATATAAGATATCTATTAATATAAACTAAGATATCTACTAATAAGATATTGATTAATAATACAAATTTTCATCCTCATTTTCACCCTCTTAAGAGATGATTTCCGGAATAATCATATTCTATGTCCTTACCACGGCCTCAAACTATCTTTTTTCCAAGTTTCATCTAAATCGGTCCCGTAGTTTTTGAGTTTATTCGTTACAAATACACAAAAATACCTCTTAATAATATTAGTGTAGAAAAATCAAATATTGTGAATTTTGGGGTATGAACACTTCATGATCTCCAATCATAAATACAGAAAGAAGATTGCAGGAGATAATTGGATGATAGTGAACAAGAATTAATTAAAAGATAACTTAAAAGTCACTTACTTGGAGTAAACGCTCCAGAATTTATATCAGGTCCATATTCATAAAAATACCGATCGCCTTTCTTCAATCTCGCAAACTGATCAGCTATGATGTTAGCGAATGTTGCTCCAACGACACCCTCTTCTACTGACTCTTCTAAGAGACCTCCCACCCATAGATCAATGTCGTCTGGGTGTGCATACACTGAGGATAGCCTTTGTGCAGCCTGGTTATATAAAATAATTTGTATTATCTCTATGTAAAGATTCAAAGTCAGATTCAAAGAGATAAAAGTCTCAGTCACCATACAACAACATGCAATCATGGATCTACTACGCAGAGTAGTCAAATCGCACCCATTGATCATTTAAATGTAGTGGTTGTTCTGCTATAAAACTCGAGATTTAGAATTATATATGACATAAAAATTTGGTCGGAAAATTAAAAAAAAATGGATCTCGAGAAAAGCGCCATCTACCGGGCCAAACTAAAACAAGTCTAGTCGTTAAGAATGAGAATCACATCAAAATCACAAACACTCTAAGAAATTTTATACATAAAGAAGGCCATACATAAGTAAGACCAGTGCAAGCAGAACTATGAAAAACATAATGTTACATCGGTGCCCTTCATATTTTTGTTGTCTATAATAATCTTAATATAATATATCTAAAATACTCACACTAGGTGCGTACTGATTAAAATCAACAAATGTTTCCAATCCAACCAACTTCCTGTACTCATTATAGGAGCGGACACCATAATCTCTCCCTCTTTGGATGTTGATGGCAGCGAGATCTAATCCAAAGGGGTTACCGCCATGAAACATATACCGTGATAGCTATGGAAATATAATGAAAGCTTAATAAGTTAAAAGGGATTTTGAAATCACAGGTTTTTTTTTACTTATACAATAACATCTTTTTGAGATGGATATTTTTTATACCTATACATACATATACATATAACCAGAAGGTTATGTTTTAATTTTACTCAACTTGACATATTTGTTTTCGAAGTTTCATTAAAATATGAGTGAGTGTATTAAATTTAAACGTCCACTTGAAGTTGGGGGTGATTTTCATTTTACTCAACTTGACATATTTGTTTTCGAAGTTTCATTAAAATATGAGTGAGTGTATTAAATTTAAACGTCCACTTGAAGTTGGGGGTGATTTTCAACCTCCCGAGACCATAAAACATACTGTTCTCGGAAATGGCTAAATATTTCAATTTGAAAATTTATTTGTTATATGTATTTCGAAAATTACATTCACATAGTTTCTTGAAAATCAAAATAAAAATAAAAAAGAAGAAGAAATTAAAAACCGAGTTTTTTGAAAATATCTCAAAAACTTGGAGGTTATTTAAAATTTGTCATCTATGAAAGTTGTTGATTTTTATTAGACCTAAAACTTCGTAGAAAACCTTTTTCTATAGAACGTCACAGTAAGCCGGAAATTGAAAAAAAAAATTTTCAACGCTTTCCCCCCAATTCTGTGGGGTCACTGAGCATCGGGCGCATTTTACGAATTCCTTATATACCTGCTAACGTTTTAAAATCAAAAAGCTTCAGGTTTTAAATTTTTTTCTATTACAAAAAAAAACTGATTCCGATTGGTCTATATTGCTAAAATACCGATTAACTTAATGAAAATAAGCTAATATTTGTTTTTTAATTAAAATACAAAAATAGCTTACGGCTTCCGTAACAAATGGATCAACAGTTTGCATCGGCTGCCACGCGAGGCCTATCAACATTCGATCTAAAAACGGCTTAATACGCAATCTTGAAGGTTGGAACATCACTTCTGGAATGAACATCGATTCATACACGCCGTTGTTCTTTGGACTTAAAATCCTGAAAATATAATAATTTTGATTACTGACCCCAATGGTGTGACAGCTACATCGCACGTTAGACTAGGTTTGTTTTTCTACCATTATTACAGGTACAACGTTAAGCAAATTACACATAATTTTAATCTAGTCTGGATTTTATTACAGCAAAGCTCCTTTTAAATTATTTACACTTATTCTGTTTGCCGTATGATTACGAATAAGATAAGAAAGCTCGATGAAGCACTTTCCTTTACAAGAGAGAAGGAGAAAACTTGATAAATTGACAACACGACCTTTTTGAAGTCAGTTAGTAAGTCAAAAGAAGTTCACTTACTTAAGCTGGCCGTCCACTATCGAGTGCCCGAACCTCATGGCGGCGGTAGCATATTCGGCAGTCAACGATGGGTTCATATTAGGGTCGTAATCAGTAGAATAAGCAGGAGACGGCAGTAGATCAAACGCTTCCATTATTTTATGACCTACAAATTTTTTTCATTATTTATACCAACTTGGTACTACTCAAAGATCGCTGGTTCGATTCATGCATTCAGTATGTAATGTTTATGGTTGTCAACACGCAAATTTTTCATATTTTTTTGTAAAATAATATGAACCCCATCAAACATAATTACAATTGAAGCTAAGTTGACTTATCCATTTTTATGGATTCATCGATTTATCTACTCTCAAAGAAAAAGATATAAAATACTCTATTCATTTTACTCAGGCTATCCACGTCGTTCATGCTCATTATAAACATAAACCTCCCGAACAAAATTGTATAACGATGTCAAAGCCAAAAGTACTAATACAAAGCGCACTGATGGACATGGATTAATAGGTTAACGACAATGTTTTACATTATTTATTTTACCTAGTAGCAAAGGCAGCCATTCATTATAAATAATATGCTGGTATTCTGCCTGGACTATTCTTCTCGCTTCCCAAAAGACCGTGTCTTCATCCCACATAGGATTCAGCCTTGAAAGCGCTCGAGCCACCCTATTATGCTCTCTGGTCCATACAGTGTGAAATACCGTTAGTGAAATGATCTGGTTTCCATGATTGTCTCCTGAAATGAGAAAGAGCTCTTTTCAAATTTATGAATTAACTTAAAAATTACTTCCTTATTTTAATATTTATTTCTATATATCCTTCACTTGCGATTCCATTTATATGTAACGAGAAGAAGATACTTGTCTATATGCATTATCTACAATTAATCCATCCCACGAGAATTCTTTTCTTTGCTCAGTATTAAAAGTTACGTTAATCCTAAGGCCCTTTCAGCCGAATCTTCTTTCCAAAAGTCACATTGAAGTCGTTTTAATTCTTCTAGAGACAGGCAGGTTTTTTTTACGGTGCTTCAATTTTGTAGAAATTATAAATTCAACATATGTTGGTATTTTTAATAAATACAGATAGACACTTCAATTTAATTAATGAATATAAATAGGTATACAATCATCTGAATTATCCAAAAAAAATAATGTATGTATGAGTACTTGGTTTAAAACCACAAACCAAACAGATTTCCAAATAATACAACTAACAAATTATAAATTGTAGTTACGGAATGATACACAAAAATATTTACCACATTGATTTTCTAATTTAAATATAACATAAAAAATATATTTTATGACTGGATATAGGTATACTTAAAAGACTAGTTCAAAATGTAGATCCAGCAAACTAAAAAAATCTATATACCCGATTCAAAGCAAGCAGCCCCATCGTGCATGTTCAAACATTCTTTCCTCTCCGTCAGCGGAGGTAATTCCCTTCCATAATCATTAAATATGTCTAACAATCCTCCGGGAGCCCTTAATACAGCTAATTTTTCATCGGAATTTCCATAAAGATGAGATAAATCTGTGTAGTGTGTTGCGCCATTCATCTGAAAGAAGGTAATTTGTTTATATGACCTTTTATAGTTATGGAATACGTGTAACTATATTTTTGTCCCTTGCTCCACTATCGTGGTAAGTAGGATGATAAAAGATAGTTTGTCTTCATTCGGTATATGATATAGGGTTTATTCTTCACTCAAATACGTTGAACTGTTACAACGTGAAGAAGCTCACACTCAACCTACAAACTTCCGTATTTATAATACTTGATAGTATTTATTGATTTTTCATTCATTTCCGTACCAACGAAGTAACAGATTATCTTAATGCTAAAAGATTACATTATAATATGCCAGAAAGTGATATCCATCCAATATATTGAGTTTTGGAAGAAGGAAGTTTTACCATTGTGACATTAAGTGTCACTCTCACCTATCTGACAGTATAAACTTACTTGTTTAGCATATCCGACAGAACAATCGCTTCCTGGAGCAAGCTGGGTCCTTACAAAGTTTATGCACCGCTGTCTAAACTGTCCGTAGAAAGAGTCGTCTGGGTCCAGGATGATGGGTGCACAGGCAAAATGTTGAAATTCTGCTGGAAGTATCTCTTCCCCATCTCCCGAGCAACATGAAATTGCACTACCATTGCCTAAACAGTAAGAAATATTGTATTCAAATTTGATTTGTTGAGAAACTGAAATGTTTTTTTAGCATAAATTATTTAAAATGTTATGGCGTAATGGTCCCCATTCTTCACTAGTCACCACTACTCTAAATTGACGATACTTAAAAACTTGCTTAAGTAAGACTATCTCTATTATTTTCATCTTAATATTTTACCACTAACACCCTTTGGCCCAAGTAATATCGTAGGAAAAAACTACTAGGGGGCTACTACGAATATGTTTTTAAATTTCTTACAAAGCTACATCATATTAGATATATGAAAATGAAACATCATAATTATAATCAGTACAAAATATGTAAGATAAATCCACATATTATGGAACTTGGAAATTACTCAAATAAACTAAACACTTACCCAAATTAAAAACAACTCCGATGCTGACGTCATGAGCTATGAATTGGCCAAACTGCATGAACATTAAATTGTGAGTTTGACTGGGATGGTGGCCGTCAAGTACCAGGACGTTGCTTACTGCTCGGGCACTAGGTAGATCTCTACCAGTTGCAGAATTACGCAGTGCCCATATTCCTAGCAAAATAAAAGCTTCTACTAATAAAGGAGTTATTTATTATAACGGTAATAGGCTCAAACTGTTCATTGAAATTTTGAAACCTACGTTTATTAAAAACCAGAAAAATGACACAAAAAAATGTATAGAAATGACATATATTACAAATAAGCAATACGTCACGAGATCAGATTATGTCATACTAGCTTTCTTCCCAATAAAATCTTTCATCCCCATTTTCACCCCCTTAAGGGATGATTTCCGGGATAAAAATTATTCTACGTTCTTCCCAGAGTCTTAAACTATCTTCTTACCAAATCTCATCTGAATCGGTTCAGTAGATCAGAGGTTACCCACTACAATGTCACAAACTCACAATCTCACAGACTCACAAACTCACAAACTTTACTCTTTATAATATTAGTATAAATTAAAATCCTAGTTTTCCATTAGCTATATTAGTAGCAAAAAGTTTTTTTTTTAAGAAAACAGTTTTAATTTTACTTTAGTGGTAATTTATATGAGACGAACAAGAGAAAAAAAAGTCCACAACATAAACACCCTTAATATATAAAGCAATATTGATATAAGTAGTAAAATGAATATTTTTCTAAGAAAACAATTTTAAAATGTTATTCACGTATTGTGGTAACTATAAGAAGAGCAAGAGAAAGAAATTTTTCCAGAACAGAAACACTTTTAACACAAAAAGATGCATTTCTGGTCTTAGTGTTTAATAGACGTACATATATATGTGTAGTGTTGAAAAGACGGTTACATTTAAGCCCAGTCTATTTATTAATTCCCTTGAGGTATTAGCATATTTTAATAAAAGTTGTTAAATAATAAATTGTGGTTGGTAAAAATCAAGCGAGTGGTCTCTTGCATGATAAAATCTTACCATCACTATAATCTGGTGGCAACAATCTCTCATAGCCGGTGTTTACTGCACCCCAGTCGACGTTATTCTGATTGTTACATTCTCCTCCTACACTTCTATATCTATGAGACGATTGCCGACAGGTTGGTAAAGGCGGGCAAAATGGACCTATAATTTAATATTTTTATTATAATAATTATTTTTATAATCAAACAAAAAATACTATTTATAGTGATAATACGGTCGAGACATAGTGGCTTTGTGAATAACACTGACTTCTTCGTCTGAAGTCAAAAATTTGATTAGCGCAAACAAATGCTTATTATAATTGGACTCGAAATGAATTGAACTGTACTAAAATATACTATTTACTTTTAACTAAACAATTTTATGAGTTATTTCAAAATTAAAATTATAACAAAATTAAAATAACTCCCAAGGTGCCCAGTTGGGTACTCTATTCTGTCACGAGACACTACGGTCTCGTGATATGATTTGTCCCGACAGACCCTCAAAAACAGTTTAAACATTATTTTTTTTATTCTTACCGTCTGTATGTTCTGTGAAACCCAACATTAGATCATTTTCTGAGATAGCATCTCTTGCTTTGAGTTCTTGAGCTGTGAACAAATTCAGCAAGCCACCGCGTCCTAACGTTTGTGCTCTTTTATCGTAGGTTACAAGGGACTGTAAGAAAAATCAAGTACGTAACATAAATATAACGTGAATCTAAAACTAGTATGATTGCTTTTTAAATAAAATATCAACTTTATTAACCAAATATACATATTGTTCTCGCTTACACCTTAAAAATACTGATATTAAACGTGCATTGAGCCACAATTTCTTTTTTTTTATATAAGGGTTTGGTTTTACCAAATGCATTTACTTTTTAGCAATAATTAATATTTAATAATCCAGCATAAATCATAGAAGAAAGCTATTTCTTTGTATGGTGATCATAATTTTTATAGCCGTCACGAATGAAGGCGGAAGTAGATGCTAGTTAATAGCAATCTATAGTAAGTCTAATAATAAATAGATAAACAAATGTCAAATAAAAAAAATGTAAGAAAGAAAAAACACAGAAACAGAAAAGATCAAAGGAACGAAAACATCATACCAATATCTCCTAAAATCTCACTTTTCCAGCTTTCCCGTCTTACGAATATATAGAGATTTTTTCAAATTGAAGGCTAGTGAGAACGCAGCTCACACATGGCAGGACCATTCTCCAAAAAGAAAGCTAGTATTGGGTACTCAATAAAGTAAAATAATATTGTTTATTGGATAATTATTTATTTACTTACCAAATGATGGCCATAACTTGGAGCAGAAAAGTTAACGATGGCGTAGTTGTTATTCCTTAATGTATCAGCTCGCTCTAACCACTGCGACAACTTTTTACGAGATTGCTCATGGGCTGCTTTAACATCATCCACATTGACTGATGTGCGGAACTTACTATCAGATTCCGCTGTAAATCGGTATAAGTAATATGTAAATTTTTAATAAAACGTTTTGAAATAAAAATATGTGTTTCACCTTAATGAGAGGTAATAAGGTGAAAATTTGTAGAAACTATTATTTTAGTATTTTAAATAATGTGTCCAAAGTCTCATATAATCTCGTGTGCGCATTTAAGATTTTAAAGACACCAAAAACAATCATAATAATATATTATAGTTACCTCTCATTCTGAGGTTAATTACTTTTTGCTTAATAGTTAGGGCTATCTAGAACAATCACGATAAGCAGCTTATAATGTGCCTATATAGTGAACAATGATCATCAAAGTCAGCCATGCGTATGGTGGACACACACACAAAAGTTTTATACCACCATATAACATTATATTGTGTGTTACCAATATGACAAATTAAATTTTACTGACCGCTGGAAAATCTAAAATGACGTCGACTGTTTTTACTCTAATTCTATATTAATAAATCACACTTAGTGTAAATATGACATCAAAACAAAATGATATATAGTGTGTGTGTGTGTGTCTGTCTGTCTTGTGGCATCGTAGCTCTCAAACGGATGGACGGATGCGGTTTTTTTTCATTTGAAAGCCAGTTTCCTTGCGGTGGTTCTTAGCTATGTTTGGTTAATATCGGTCCAGCAGTATAAGAATATCATCTCTTTTCCAAAATGATGTAAGGCATTTTGGCGTATGATTACTCGATTAAGTGCTTCACGCGTAATCGTTTTTTTTACGCTATTTGGTCAATAACATTTTATCTTCTTAAAAAAACAGTAGTTTCTAAAATTGGTACTTTTTACTTACCCGCATGCCTTCCTCCAGTGAAACAGCAAACACCAATCAAACGTTTTCCTTCTAAATGGCATTGTGGGTTATAAGAAGTGGAACGGACATGCGCTGGACATTGTATATGCGGTACGCAGACACCGTTTCGTGGACATATTGCACATGGCGGCTCTGTGCTATGTGCATGGGCTAAAATAAATAAATAAATATTTTGGGACATTAAAACACACAGCACCATCTAGTTCCATGGTAAGCTACGAGGCTTGTGTTATGGATACCAGATAGTTGATACACTACACATAATGTAACTTTTAAATACATACATATTATAAATATAAACACCCATGACTGAAGTACAAACATTCGTGCTCAACACACAAATGAATACTCCCACGGATTAGAACCCACGACCGCTGGCACAGCAAGTAGGGTCGCTACAAACTGAGCCAAACGCGTCGTTAAAAGATTTAAATGATTACTAATTTTTAACTAGCTTTTATTAGATTTACTTATAACCTTTTGAAAATTCATATATTTGTGATGTTAGATTGAAAGTTTAAAATCGAGATGATAATAGAATAATTTGATATAAATTACCAAATATCAATCTGATTGATGGAGATGGAGAAATTGGATATTAGTATCATTCATTGGCTACTCGAAAAACCTTAAAAACCTTCAAGCTTGAGATCATTAAACTTTTTTGTATAAATTGAGCAAATATTTGTTTATTTATAATATTTAATTAAATAATACAGAGTTTACTATGATAGATAAATAGTCTATACACTTACGATAGAATATTTATACAAATATGGAAACCACGACAGATGTTACACTGAGTTGATACAAAGGTAGACACTACATAGATATATTTTATGCAGGTTAAATTATTTTATAGATGCAAATAAAACAACAACTTACGTATGAGGCTACCTTAATGTTTAAAGAACACAAAAATTTATTAATAAATATTTGCAAAACTACATTCTCATACTAATGACTATTAGTAATATAAGTAGGTATTTTATATTACCGAGTAAATAAATTTTTATGCTTGCAATTTATTCTCGATAGGGTCGATAGGGTCGATAGGGTCCATCCCTAGGTACCTAACTGAACCCTATTTTACTACAGATCAATCTATCTTTGTACTAAATTACATCTAAATCCGTCAAGCCATTTAGCAATAAGTGTAAAAAAGTAACTGTGTACAAATTTTTAAACACAATAATATATAGTCAGATAGGTAACTAACCTTTTTCCCCATGCGTTCCATAATGGCCTCTCATAGACATGCCATGTTCACTTACTACTTCATTTAAAGGCCACAAAACAACTAAATATAAAAAAGTATGAAATACCAAACTATTTAAACCCATTCTTATAATCAATACTGATATTTATAATATAAAATTGTTTTGAAATTTAAAATTCACATAATTAATGCTCTGCGTTAGAATTCTGTCAAGTTTCAATTAAAATGATCGAGAAATGGCTGTATTATGCCAAAGTAATATATAAAATGTGGGTAGGATTGAAAATTACATACAATTAAGTAGATGAAATTAGGTTTTAAAGAATTTATTTCACAAAAGAATTACAAAAACGTAAAAACTTATATAAAACAATTTGTTTTTCCTTAAATACGTTGAACGTACTTTATATTATAATAAATACTGAATATTTTTATTAAAATAATTGAAATAAAAACATTTTTAAAGCAAGCTTTATTTTACATTCCCAAAATAGAAGTAAATAAACTTTAAATTAAATCAAACCCAGCAATTTATTACATTACACATATATAACAATAAAAATTTGTCACGAGTTTTATCTATTTTATAAAAAACATTTTTTTTTAATTTTGTTTCTTGTTTATGTGCTTCAAAGTTATTATAATAATAATTAAGATTATAGAGTAAAATAAAGGTTATCTTATAATAAAAAATACACTTTTTACACATTAGATATATCTATATTTTTTAAATAATACTTGAATATATGCTATTACTATAAGCGCTAGGTATTATTTAAGTACATAATATTAAGTTTTTTATTGAAGTTTGATTCAAGTATTCACTGAGTTCTTCTTTATGGTTTTGACGTCACCTGGTAATAAAAATGCGATCAGGCCGCCAACTGTAAAAAAAAAATTATATAGCTTGCTTTCCAATACAAACTTTCATCCCCATTTTCTAAGTTTCTGCGCAATTTTCTTATTTTTTTTAAAGTAAGAATCTTCTACGAAGTATTGCAAAACATTTAAAAAATATATAAACGAAATCGGTAAAGCCGTTCTTAAGTTATAGCGTGACCAGGAAAAATAGGGGCTCATTTTTATATATATATATATATATATATATATATATATATATATATATATATATATATATACTAGCGGACCCGACAGACGTTGTCCTGTCTACACGTCTTTAATTTGAAAATTTCAAACTTTTTTTAACAATTTTTTTGATGAAAATTATTATTCAAATTGTGAATCTAAACCATTCCCAGATCCCCTTGAACACACACAAAAAATTTAATCAAAATCGGTCCAGTCGTTTGAGAGAAGTTCAGTGACATACACACTCACAGAAGAATTAAATATATATAAAGATATATATATGTGTGTGTGTGTATTGATAATTACTCTTTACATAATGACTTTGCTTTATGTACAATGTACATAACATGTATGTACGTTAGACATATCCAAATTATCTTAAGCTTTCTATCACTTTAAAATATAATATAAACTGCGACCTCATGTTATATTATCTTATCTATAATGCTTATAATAAGGCAGTGGTAGCCCAGTGGTAACGCGCTCGCTTGGGAAACCGAGTGAAGCGAGTTCATATCCCGGGTCTCGCATCTATGATATTTTCGTGTGCGAATCATTTCGAACATGATTACCGCTTCTCTTAACGGTGAAGAAAAACATCGTCAGGAAACCTGCATGTCTGAGAGAACCTAGTTATTTTTCAAAAGATATGTAACATAACATGCCAACCCGAACTTGGTCAGCGTTGTGGACTATGGCCTGATCCCCCTCGTACTGAAGGGAGGCCCGTGCCCAGCAGTGGGATGTTAAAAAGGGCTAAATGCAAAACTTACAATACTAATATTTTTTAATGAAAATCTTATTTAATCCGAATTCCTTTTCAATGGCAAAGTTTAAAGTTTAAAGTCGGTTAACTTTCAAAAAAGAGGAAGTTCTCAATTCGTCGGAATCTTTTTTTTATGTATGTTCAACGATTACTCGAAGACGCCTGAACGGATTTGGATTTTTTTTTGTTTCAAAGGGTATACTTCCCAAGTGGTCCGATATAAATTTTATCGAAGTCGGTCGAGCGGTTTTTAAAAAATCAACAATAAAATATTTTTTAAATAAATTGCTTAATCGAATATGTTATTAAAAAGCTTTCTTCTTACAAATAACCTGCTTATTGCGTCTACACTAAAAATAAAAATAAAAAAAACTACTACGGCACCGACTTCGAAAATATCTGATTAGGTATCTCTTCTAAATGAAAACCCCGTTTAGTTATTTTTTATATTTGAGTGCCTGGAAGTCGTTTAAAAAAAAGAGACAATTTTTTTTTGCGTAAACGTAACTTTAATAACCTCTAACTCTCCTCTTTTTGAAAGTTTAAAATACACTGCGTTTAAAAACTTACCAAACGTTAAACCGCCGAAAAAATAAAAAGCGTTTTCACAATCATACACCAGCATGTGCTTTAATATATTAATCCCAAACACTGAACTCCCGCGACCAACCATCAGAGTTATGCACACCGCCATTGCTCTGAAACAATAATTATAGATTTAGAAAAATGATGAAAAAATTCGTTTTAGATGAACTGTAATGAATGATTAGTCAATCCGAAGTATGAAATATGAGTGCAAGCTCAAAGATTTTGCCATTATGTTTTAAAAAGTTTCACAATCTAACTTCATAGGTAGATCCGCTCCTGGCATCGAATTATTGCATTGTCGTTGCGCTTTTGTTTTAATAACTAATAATACTTAGTAACTACCTCGGGTGGGTCTCTAGGTGTGTTTTATTTTTTTTTGAGCGGAACCCTAAACCTTTTACTAAAATGAAAGTAACCTAAGTTACACCTTATAATATCAGCTATATGCCAGTGAAAGTTCCGTCAAAATAAGTTTAGCCGTTTTGGAGATTAGCCGGAACAAACATACAGTCAAATAGACAGATTTTTTTTTTAAATAGGCGTGTGTGTATGTGTCAGCATGTGTTCATGTGTGCATTGCACGTACACGTGTGTTCGTATTCACGTATGCATATATGTGTGCAAGTGTGTGTGTGTGTGTTTGACTTTAACAGACAGAGTAGGCCAGTAAAATGTAGGTACTTACTTGACATAAGTAGGGAATACATCCACGGCGAATGTAGATATGAAGCCGAAGTTGAGTACTCCAGCTATAAAAATGATGAGGAAGATAGAGCTCAGCATCCATGAGCTTACCAAACTGACGCACAAGCCAGCTATGCCAGTGATTAGCTAAAAAGGAAACGATTCTTAAATCCAATAACTTGTTGTGTTACATGGGAATGGGAAAATAAATAAATTGGTGTTTAAAAATAAATATATTTCTTATGAAATACATCTTCTTATATACATACTAGCGACTCACCCTCGCTTTGCTCGGGTCACTAGGCTGATTCCCCATACAAATTTTCATCCCCATTTTCACCTTAAGGGATGATTTCGGGGATAAATAGTATTCTATGTCCTTCCTAGGGTCTTAAGCTATCTTCTTAGCAAATTTCATCTAAATCGGTTTTGTAGATCCAGAGATTACCGCCTACAACGTCACAAACTCACAAACTTTACCTCTTTATAATATTAATATACATATAGATATATAAGTTATAATTACTATATAATAATTAAATTATATAAAAAGTAATCGAAAATAGGTATATTATGTACCTGTACAGAGACCATCATACGCTTCCTTCCAATGTAGTTAATAACAGTACTAAGAACAGTGTTGAGCGCAGCTATCATTATACTTATCGCGCATACCGTCACCATTGCAAAACTATTTAAACTACAGTCATGATTCTGAAAAGAAACGGAAGAACTTTTAAATGCCGATTCGTTGGAGAGCAAAAAATTTCCAGTGCCCTCAATGGTTTAAGTGATATTTTTGTTTACAGTATTAGAAATCATAAACAAAATTGGGTTGGTTTTTTTTTCGAGTTAGACTGAAAGATTGACTCCAGGCAGAATAAACTATATGATAAAGATTTTTATGATTTTAGAGTACCCTATCTACATAAATCCTAGATCGTAGTAGTAAGAGTATTATATTATGATAACTGATACGTAATTAAATATTAATTATCAAGTCATATTTAAATTTTAGAGACGATGACGAAATTTTAGTGTATCATAATTTTGTAAAACTAAACAAATACAACAGGACCCAATGTTATGTACACCTAAAATTTACAGTCCTTTTTTAAAAGTTACATACATACATATAAATAAAGTGCCATTCTTATTTTGCTATAACGTTTTGCCCGCGAGCACGCAGGCGTGGACTAAAAAATTTGCTAAGTTTTAATTTCTATTGAATTTATATGTTTTTATATCGAAATTTTAATACCATGATTCATTTATATAATCAATCTAGATTGACTTAGTCTACGCTAAAAAACCAACTGCAAATATACCACATTGGTGGATGTTCTGTCTAGTTCTGGGTTCTGCTAAAATGTCTTTATGAGAAGCAATCCTCTGGCAGACAGGCCCTGGGATATATTAATGGTCATTGCAAAACTAACTTTAAGGAGGAATTACAATAGATTAAATTCAAACATGTACTCAGAGGTTATCCATGGAAGTCAAGGTATGAATACTGATTCACGCAAAGACTTACGCGTAGCCAATACGCTTTGTTCGTGTATAGTGTTGTCAATGTGTAAGATACCTTTAAAATAGTTTTTTTTTTCGGTTTTTTTATTTCTTTAGGGTAAATTAGTGCAGCAATCCTAGAGGAACCAAATAATATGCCTTTTTAACTTTTTGACTTTGACTTCGCATGAAATCAATTTCTGTATCTTAAAAAGATGTTTAAAAAAAATAAAAACAAGTTTTACCTCCGATACACTTTCATTATGAGCAGATCTCAACATATCACAGATAGATAAATGATCGTCTGCTTTTTCTATAGACTTCATAACAGCGTCTGCGATGTAGGGCAGCCACGTTAAAAATGGATTTATGCTGTTAATAAATATATTATTAGGTTCATAATTTCAATTCATCAAATCAAATTTAGGTTCAATTCAATTCAATTTTCTTATTAATGACTTCTAAGAGTGCCAGTTTAGCGCAGATTAAGTACTTTGCCAATGTCACATAGAATGGAGAAGACACGAGAGTTTGGTCGTACATACTTGTACATAGGTTGTGATAGACTGGTACAAGGATTTTGGATTAGTGTCATTAGGCGACATCAAATAAATTTGATTCTGGACAGATTGGACAAAAGAAAGACATTTAGTTAATTTGAAACAGACTTAATCGTACACTGTTTTCATAATACTTTTCTTAATGATTTGTAAATATAAATTAAAAAAAAAGCCCTTAGGGGAAAATAACGGCTTTTTGAAGTGATTTTGACATTTATGTAATTTTTTAGTCTACCAACATATATATTTTAAATTATGACTCAGCTAGTCAATAAATATTAAAAAAGTAAACTGGTAATAAACACTAATACACAAACACTCTATTGCTAGCAAATAATTTATGGATATCTAAGACTTTATAGTCTTTTATCTTTAATATGGTTGGACTATATACATAAATATTTGCCTACTTAAAAGCGAAGCTAGCATCAAAACCTTTTATTTTTACCAGATTGCTCTGAAAATTGTATTGATTCGTAAACTTACCCAAAATATACAACAATAAATAACGTAGACAAAAGCAGAGTGTCCTTTAGAAGTGGGGGCTTCAGTAACGGCACTGTCTGTGACATTATGGAGGACCAAAATCCATTTGAAGGTTTTCCTGTATCTTCATCAAATACTAGAGAAAAAACCTGAATCACAATAATTCTAAACTTGAATTACAGATAACATTTTCATTCATATATTTCATACATTCAAATAGAAATCAAACAAATAATAAAAGAAAAATAATAAAATGAAATTTACTTCGTAATCATCTTTGCTTCTTCCAGTGTTAACGCTATAAATTCCTTTCAATACGTCCAAAGCTTTTTGCTCTTCCCCAATACTCAGTAAGAACCTTGGACTTTCGTAAGAACAGTAGACCCCAACAGCTCCCAACGCACACGGAAAAGCAAATACTAAATTTAAAAGACGCCATGAATTAAATTCTATATTGAGATATGGCACGTAGTAGCTAAATTTCATTTGCAACACCGGGATGCACAGCACTGAAACAAAATATTATTATTTTTATATTATTATTTATTATTATTTATTACATAACTCTCATGACTTACTGGATTGCCTATGATGAAACTATAGCTAAAATAGCAGAACCAGCGGCTTTGCTCGCGCTAAAACTACGAAAAAAACTCTAAATAGGTAGGTACCATACAAACTTTCATTCCCTATTTTACACCCTTATAAGATGAATTTCGAAAAATGCTGAAACATATAGCATTAATATCAAGTTTCAAGTAATTCTAATCACAAATAAATTTTTGGATTGTATTTTAAGATGTTTTCCCATAGGAATGAGATGATCTTTCGCCATAAAAAATAGCCTATGTCACTCTCCAGCTCTCCAACTATATTCACACCAAATATCATGCAAATCCGTCCCTCCGTTTCGACGTGAAAGAAAGACAAACAAACACACTTTCATATTTATAATATTATGATATGGATAAATGCATTCGAACTATAGAAATGAGGGCTGCTGCACTAGAATTCGCCGCGAGAAGCGCTAGTGTAGAGTGAGGTCTCTAGAAATGTCAAATCACACTGAAAGTTTACCGCTTGCAGGCTTTTCATCGTAGAATTTCACCAATTATTCATTATTACTGTAAACATTATGCCATTCTTGATTAGTTATGGCAGACACGGTAGCGCTCAGCAAATGTTATTTACTTTAAAAGAAGACAGTTACAGAAACATACATACGAACAGAAATCTACACATATAATAAAATTCTAACTAAGCCGAATCTGTACATTAAATATTTTTTGGAAAATCTTATTTAAATAGACATTATTTTTGATACAGAGATCGAATCTATAGTATTTAGAATGTTTGTGTCTATCTGTCTGTCTGTTTGTCTGTTACCGCATCACGGAAAAACCACTGGAGGGATTCTAATGAAACTTGGTATGGTGATAGCTGATTATCCGGGTCAACATATAGGATACTTTTTACCGCGGCAAAATATCTCATTTCTGAGAAAAAATACAAAAACTGCAATGTAAGAGTATATTAATTTGTAAAACCTAAGAATTTGATTTTTGGTCATCTGAACGCGGGCGGAGCCGCGGGCAATGCTAGTTATTAATTTTTTTTTTAAACAAAAAAAAACCGGATAAAGTGGTACAATTATTATTATATTGAATTTACGGCCCCACCGCACGCGATAATTCCCATGATTTGCGAAACCATATTCCCGCATGACCTATTTTTATATACATACTAGCGACTCACCCTTGCTTCGCTCGGGTTCGCCCCTAGGTACATTTTATGTTAAAATAGATATAGTTTGTTATCCTTAAGAGATAGACATATGCCATCGCGGACTTTTCTGTAGACCTTTATAAGATACACAATTCCACCATACATTATTTTGTTATATCTCAAAGGGCTTAAGCAGCGTTTTCGTTGAAAGCTCCCAGACGGCTTATTTTTTTCCGACACCTCCAACAAATATCATTAAATTGTAGCCAATGTATACAAAAACTTAACAAATTATATACTAAAACCTTCCTTCTGAATCACTCTATCTATTAAAAAACCGCATCAAAATTCGTTGCGTAGTTTTAAAGATTTAAGCATACATATGGATATAGGGACAGAGAAAGCGACTTTGTTTTATACTATGTAGTGATATGTAAATTTATGAAAAGTTTATACAATACATCTAAGTTAATTAATAAAATTTAATCATTATAAATATTTTCATATCTCACCCGCCATAATCCCTGTGCCAGCCAGATATATGGTGCTAGTAAGGGCTACCATTATAGACCGCCTGTGATAAGGTGTACATTCGCTAAGAAGAGTCACCGACAATGCAAATGTACCTGCTACACTGTAACAATTGTGTTATACCAAAAAAATCGACTAACAATTTCAATCTATAGCACAATGAATGATAATAGATTTGCTATACACAACTGCTCAGCTTTAATACATTATACAAATGTGGACAAGAAAATAATAATAAGTATAATATATTATTATAAAAAAGGCAGTGGTAGCCCAGTGGTGACGCGCTCGCTTGGGTAACTGAGTGAAGCGGGTTCAAATCCCGGGTCTCGCATCCCTGATATTTTTATGTGCGAATCATTTTCAACATGATTACCACTTGCCTTACGGTGAAGGAAAACATCGTGAGGAAACCTGCATGTCTGAGAAAACCTTGCAAGTTTTCGAAAGACATGTGAAGTCTTCCAACCTGCACTTGGCCAGCGTGGTGGACTATGGCCTGATCGCCCTCGTATTGAAGGGAGGCCCCTGCCCAGCAGTGAGACGTTAAGAATAATTTTTGTCTATCTGTCTGTTTGTTCCGGCTAATTTATAAAACGGCTGGACCGATTTTAACAAAATCTTTACTGGCAGATAGCTGATGTTATAACTTATAAGGCGTAACTTAAGCCACTTTAATTTTAGGAAAGGAAATAGAGTTCCACCCAAAAAATTTAAAACCCATGAAGTTCTGAACAAAATCCGCCTATTTAGGAACGCACCCGAGCGAAGCGAGGGTAAGTCGCTAATTTAAAAAAAAAACTTACAAAAACCGACTTCCATGCACTAAAAAGTAAAAAATATCTAAACGGGGGTTTCATTTAAAATAAATACCTAATCAAATATTTTTGAAGTCGGTGTGCTTAAATTTGTATCGGCTGGCACCGGCTTCGAAAATATCTAAAAATAATATCTATTCTAAATGAAAACCCGCATTTAGTTATTTGTTACTTTTTAGTGCCTAGAAGTCGTTTTTTTAAGATTTTATTTATCCATTTTTAGCGTGGACGTAATAAGCAGGTAATTTGTAAGAAGAGAGTTTTTTAATGACATAATCGATAAAGCTATTTAAAAATAATTTATCTTTGATTTTTTAAGAACCGCTCGATCGACTTCAATAAAATTTAAAGGGACCACCTGGAAAGTATATGCCTTTTGAAATAAAAAAAAAGAATATTCCAAATCAGTTCAGGCGTCATCGAGTAATCGGTGAACATACATAAAAAAAAAGATTCCGACGAATTGAAAACCTTCTCATTTTTGAAGAAGTCGGTTGATAAATAAGAGAAACTCACGCGCAGGATGATAGGAACTTTAGAACACTAAAAACTATCCAATCAGGTGAAAAAGCAGCTAAGGAAGCAAACAGGAATGCGAGGCTCATACACAAAACCAGGACACTTCTCCTTCCTCGAGTATCTGCCAAATATCCCCAGAAATGAGACGTTGCTATTATTCCTAAAACAAAATTCATAATGTTTAAAAAAAAAAACAAAACTACTTTATAGTGTTCAATTTATTTAAATTATTTCATGTTAACTTTGTATATAAAATGATCGATCATCAAAATCAAAAACTCGATCTTGGTCTTTTAATGTTAGTTACACGAGCAAAAATGCAAGCGTCACATTCAAAAAACACTAGCGGATAATAGCTAAAAAAATAGTCAAGAGATGATGTACGCTATTTTTTGTATGTTTGTATTTTTGTATATTTGGTAGGTATGAAAATAGGTCGTAAAGTATTTTTCAGTCTTCTCTGGATCTACTGAACCGATTTAGATGAAATTTGGTAAGAAGATAGTTTGATGCCCTGAAAAGGACGTAGGATACTTTTTACCCCAGAAATCATCACTTAAGGGGGTGAAAATGGGGATGAAACTTTGTTTGGGAAGGAAGCTAGAGACGAAGGAAGGAAGCTAGGTGAGTTGCTATATACATAACATAAAGCCAGGAGATTTTTTTGTAAATTGAACGCGGGCTAAGCCGCGGGTGCTGCTAGTAATATTATATATTACTAAGATTATAATTACGTTTTATAAAAAAAAACATTAAAACTGAATCTTTTATTTATTTTTTTACTTGTCTCTTTAAATCAATTGCTAAAAATATGATAATATAAAAAAATAAAACAGTTTCAACATGAATCAAATTAAATTGTTAAATGTATGTAAATTAATGCATGCAATACTATTGAATAATTAAATGCTCTTATCTAAAATAATAACTAAGATAAGAGGTAATAATTTACCACTGTTTATTCACATATTTATTTAACTATGCAGATATTCTTTGTTAATTTTACGCGATAGGAATATCTCAACGCGTATTGATCTTAGCAAGATAAAAATATATTAAATTACGTACGTAAATGGCAAATTACAAGTCATTTTTAACAACACTCTCATTTTTTGACAGAGTATTAAATTGTTTTTATATACCTACTACTAACGACTCACCCTCGCTGCGCTGGGGTTCGCCCTAGGTTGGTTCATTATACAAACTTTCATCTCCATTTTCACCCCCTTGAGGGATGATTTCCGGAATGAAAACTATGCTATGTCCTTCTCGGGGCCTCAAACTATCTTCTTACAAAATTTCATGTAATCGGTTGAGTAGTTCCAGAGATTACTTCCTACAAACAAACTCACAAACTTACAAACTTTACCTCTTAGCGAAGGTGAGACGCTTGTATATTATCGTTACGTATTAGCAACAAAATGAATTATTTTATGGAATATTGGTTTAATCCCATATCTCAGTTTGATTATTACTTGGCCAGTCTCTATTTTGATATGAACCTTTAAATATACGACTCTTAAAATACTATCCTTACCTAAAAAAGGCATCCCAGCCATAAACCCTTGCTGGAAGTTAGTAGTCATCAACTCACAAGCACTCGCAGGTACTAAATAAGCTACTGACATGATCTCAAAAGCCATCCCCATAATCAAACTTATGTGGACCAACTGCAACAAGAAGTTGAACTTGCCAAATCCTGCGAAAGAAGTAAATGTTATTGAATTTTGCTTAGTAAAATTGTTATTTTATACCGAGTTAATATTTAGAGTACCAATACTCTTTATTTATGGCATCGCTGTCTGATTTAAACACTAGAAAGTGATAACCTCTCTGCTTATCATCTTCAACTTGAACTATACTTGCTAAGACGGTAAACTAAGTTCTTGAAAAATGTGTACAGTCCACCAAACTCTATTTGACTAGCTTGGTGATCTATGGTGTGATGCCTCTTGCATTCAAAGGAGGCCCATGTCCAGCAACGGGCCGTTAAAAAATGCTGAATTATTCCAATGCAATCATTGTTTTTGTCACAGGACTGTATCTTATTTGTTTGTTATGCTGTGATCTTTTGGACATCCCTTCGTTACCATAAATTTTATTACACAGCTTATAATATCATATTGGTGAGCAGTTCATGTAATTTTCGAGTATATTTAAATGTACATTTCATCATCATCAGCCTGCTTTCGTCCACTGCTGGACATAGGTCTCTCCTATGGCACGCATCTAATCTCGATGTTGAGCTCTACGCATCCAACCGCTGCTAGCTACTTTACGTATATTGTCGCTTCAACTAGCTGGAGGGCGTCCTACATTATCGTTTGTCGAGCCACAATCTCCACTCTAGAATATAGATATATAGAAGATATTCGTACAAATATCATAATATATTTTGATGTGAAACATCTAATCCGGCGGACCAAAACCTGCTATTGGCGTGGCGACGTGTCGCCACCGCGTTGAGCTCGTATTTTAGTTTTTAATTTTGGTATTAAATTAAGATGTATTTTTTAAATAAAGATTTTTTTCTTTTAAATCTATATAATTTTTTTTATTTGATTGCATTTTATAAAGGCAGTGGTAGCCCAGTAGTAACGCGCTCGCTTGGGAAAACCGAGTGAACCGAGTTCAAATCCCGGGTCTCGCACCTCTGATATTTTCATGTGCGAATCATTTCCAGCATGATTACCACTTGTCTTAACGGTGAAGGAAAATATCGTGAGGAAACCTGCATGCCTGAGAGAACCTGGCAAGTTTTCAAAAGACATGTGAAGTCCGCCAACCCGCACTTGGCCAGCGTGGTGGACTACGGCCTGATCCCCCTCGCATTGAAGGGATGCCCGTGCCCAGCAGTGGGACGTTAAAAAGGGCTGAATACACATACATACATATTTTTTTATTATGTCATATTTACTGCCTTTAAAAACTTTTTATACAAAATAAAAAAATAAAAATGAATAAATTTTTTATACAAAATAATGTTGACATCCCCCATATTCCAGGTGTCCTGCAACGGCCTATTAATTAATTTTTCTTTATTCATCCGATTATAACGGAAGAATAGCAACAGCCTACGGTGTGTCTATTTGTCCGATAATAGTCAGACTCCTTTGCCATAGCAGTATAGAGCGTGGTGCGTTTCCTGATATAATGAAACACAGTAAAATTATTTCTATTTTAAAATCAGGTAGTACCTTAGACCCTAATAATTTTAAACCAATTTCGATACATACAACGTTTAGTAATTTTTTTGAAAAAATCATACTCGTGCAAATGTTAACGCATTTCAATGCACACAATATAATTCATAATAAACAGTTTGGTTTTAAGAAAGGCCGCTCCACGGCAGATGCTAGTGTTGATCTAGTAAATAATATTTTTGAGGTTTGGAAAAAGTCAGAAAATTCACTTGGGATATTCTGTGACTTATCCAAGGCCTTTGATTGTGTGCATCATGAGACTCTGACCAGGAAACTGCATCACTATACATTAGAAATAAGGCACTCGACCTACTGAATTCGTATTAAAATAATGAAATACAGATGGTTCATGTCAATGGTAAGAGATCTCCTGGGACTCTATTAGATATGGGGGTTCCACAAGGATCTATTCTTGGCCCCTTTCTCTTTCTAATTTATATTAATGATTTGCCATTTTTTATACAGGACAAACATGAGATAGTATTGTTCGCTGATGACAATTCGCTTATTTTTAAAGTGAAGCGCAATTTGTTAATGTATGACGATGTAAACAATGCTCTCTCAAAGGTTGTCTATTGGTTTGATTCAAATAATTTATTATTAAATATTAAAAAGACAAAATTAATAAAATTCTCAACACCTAATGTTAAACTTGTTGATAATTGTGTAATATTAAATGGCGAAGGTTTAAAACCGGTAGAGTCTACTAAATTCCTAGATATTATCATGGATTCAAAACTGCAGTGGGGCCTACATATTGAGGGGCTAACGAGTACTCAGTCAGCTATGCAGCGTTCGCGGTAAAAAAATAAGACTTTTTACTGATGTAGACAGAGCTCGCATAGAATATTATTATTAGTTAGTTATTTTCATAGTATTATGTCTTTTGGTATCTTACTGTGGGGAAATGTAGGCTGCTGCTATTAATACGATTTTTGTCCTGCAGAAAAGAGCTATTCGTGCAATGTATAGTTTAGGTCCTAGAGTGTCATTAAGAGATAACTTTACTTTAAAGAAATATAATATTGACTGTTGCTTCTCAGTAGGTACGTTTACGAAAATGTTATGTATGTTCGTAAAAATATACACCAATTTCCCAAGAAGTGCGACTGAAATGCATAACGATACTAGGAGCAAACACAAATGTAATGCCTGTGACTCGTCTACACAGAATAAGTCATTCTTTTTATGGACAATGTATACGCTTATACAACAAGATCCCAGAAAATGTTCAAAAACCTTAATTCATAAAATTTTGTTAAAGAACGTTTGTGTGCTAAAGGCTATTATACAATAAATGATTTTATAGAAGATAGCACGCCTTGGGAACAAAGTGATCGCTTCCAGGCTACTTCAACTTTATAGAAATGTTGTAATTTATAACTTAACTTTATAAAAAAGATAACGAAAATCCCGCTGAGTTACTTTTGCCAGTTCTTCTCAGATCTGAGGCTTCTTCTTTCCGAACTGGTAGTAGACTCATGACGTTCAGTAAAAAATTGTAATAATTTAAAGCTGAATAAAATATTTTGAATTTTGAAAATTTGAATTTGAATTACTTCATTTGGACTCTCCATCATCGATCTGTCTTACCTGTCATGTTCAAAGCTTCCTCAAAATTCACCGAATGCAGTTTCGCAACCATTTCGCCTAATTTCACTGGAAACTCACGCCACAATAAAAGCTAGCATAAAAATATAAGCGAATCTCGACACAGTTCAGAAAGGTGGAAAATAGTTAACTGGCTTTATTCAATCACTTATAGCAATATATACAAAACGTTATCTACACGTAACAGCAGTGAGGAGTCTATACTGCAGAGTATTTGCGTAAATTAAGTTTCTTTACGAAGTCTTAACTTATTGATATGGTTTTGAACTCGTGACATACGTATACTCTCTTCGTGATTTTCATTATAGTAGGAATCATAAAAAATGGACAAAATACCCATAATTTCTTCTCATAGGAACCTCTGTATATGATATCGATATTTTTATACTTTACCATACTGATACATTACGGATTAAACCAGCGAGAGAATGAGATAAAATACATTGCCATGTCACCATGTTAACCGTTGTTATTGTCTGACAAATATATAATATATAATACTAGCGGCTCACCCTCGCTTCGCTCGGGTTGGCCTCTTGACAAACAAAAACAAATCTAGTTCACGGGAACCGTACATTTTTCCGGAATAAAAAGAGGCCTATTTGTTATTCTGATATTTGAACAATATATTTGTAAAGTTCCATTAAAATCCAATCAGTAGTTTTTGTATATTAAGCTGTATAAGTTACTATAGTTTTTTTAACTATTCCACGGGAACTCTTTAATTTTCCGGGATAAAAAATATCTAAAATGTAGACCTGGGATATAAGGTACCATCATGCAAAAATTCATTGAATTTGGTCCAACAGTTTAGGAGATTAGCCCGTACAGACAGAGAAACAAAAAATTAAAAAAAACTGGATTTGTTCTATTTCTCTTCTTACACCCCCCTGATTCGGTTTTTAGCATTTTTTTCCTATGTACAGATATTCAACCTCTACGGTTTTATTATATGTATAGATAAAGATATTCTTTCCGTATATGACATTCTATCTATACATATAATAAAATTCTAAGTCAAATCTGTACATTAAATATTTTTTGAAAAATCTTATTGAAATAGATATTATTATCGATACAGAGGCCGAATCTATAGTTTTTAGAATGTTTGTCTGTCTATCTGTTACCGCATCACAGAAAAAGTACTGGACGGATTTTGATGAAACTTGGTATGGTCATAACTGATTATCCGGGTCAACATATATGATACTTTTTACCACGGGAAAATATCTCATTTCTGAGAAAAAATACAAAAACTGTAATGTAACTGTAATGAGTATACTAATATGTAAAACCTAAAATTTGGCTTTTGGTCATCTGAGCCGCGGGCAATGCTAGTATAAGTATATGATTGTAATATGCCTTATATGCATTATTTAATTATTATATTTGAGAGAGAATACGTTACACACGAAGTGAAAAATCATTAAATTAATTACTGAATAATATGTAATGTATGTATATTTATGTCAAATAAAATGTAAAATAACTTTTACACCTGGTAAAAATATTATAAAAAAATAAACCTTATAATTATCCTACTCCTGATGCTCTATATTCATGTCATTCTCTCGTAGGTTACTATTCTGAAGTTTCACTTCCACCATGTGTGGATTGCACACACACGTACAAACAATGTACATCATTCCCAGAAGTGTTAGATTTCTGTTCTTTAACAATTGTAGGATGACATCTTATCAAAGTCCCATATTTTATCACAAGTATCTATTTTATTAATTCTGCTCTTTAGAATTTCTAAAGAAAATAAACAATAAACATTTTAAATTAGAAGTTTGTATCGATCTAAGTCGAAAATGAAACGCCTAACATTCGTTTAATAGCAAAATAATACATAAAATTAGTTGCCATAAATATTTTTAGACCAAGAAGATTGTATAAAAGGTGACACGATACTTAATACTTATTACTTATATATTAGTCATCCATGCTAATTACTAATACAGATAACCTATCCTAACTAGAAAGTGGTTGGATTGAAGAATAGCCCATTTTGAGCTATTGTTATTATTTTATTTACTTAAATAGTCAATAGATGGCGTTCAACCAAAACTGTGATAATATTTTGTTTTTTAATATGTACTAAAATATCTCATATATTGCAAAATCAATTTTGTACACAACATAATGTTCGATTGCTTAATGATTAGTCATTAATAAAATTTCAGAAAAAAATATAATCACATTATTTTATTTTAAAACAAATATAATATACCTTTTTAGAATCTATTTTTCTCCCTCGTTAACTTAACATAAACATGAAGAACTAATCTATACACATAGCGCCATCGATTGACTTTTATTTAAACTTTTATTCTTTATTCCTGATCTGATATTATATATCTGTATTCAACCCTATTTAACGTCCCACTGCTGTACGAGGGGAATCAGGCCATAGTCCACCACGCTCGTCAAGTGCGGGTTGGCGGACGTCATGTCTTTTGAAAACTTGCTAGGTTCTCTCAGACATGCAGGTTTCCTCACGATGTTTTCATTCACCGTAAGACAAGTGGTAATCATGCTGGAAATGATTCGCACACGAAAATATCAGAGGTGCGAGACCCGGGACCTGATCTGATCCTAAATTTTATTACAATTACCTACTACGGCCGGTGGCTAAGCACGCATTTATAAGTTTTCAGTTATTATACGTTTTAACGTTTAGTATAGATTTCTCAGAGATGAAATATTTTCCTGCAATAAAAACTATCCTATAAGTTAACCCGGATAACCAGCTATCATCATACAAATTTCATCAAAATCTGTCCAGTGGTTTTCTCGTGATGCGTTCCCACTTCCCAGACAAACAGACACACAGACAGACAAAAATTCTAAAAAGTATAGATTCGGCCTCTGTATTATTATTTATTATACAGATTCTACTCAGAATTTTATCATAATATATGTATATTGTATAGATAACCTATTCAAATAAGTTTCTAATTACATCAGACCGGCCACCATATCGCTATATGCCGTTTATTCGATAGCTTGGCTGAAATCTATATATTATTATATATGAAAATATGTATTTTGTATTCAATCACACCAATTTTGTAATATTATTCATTTAAAACGATGCAAAATGCAAACATTTTTTAAAACGTGTTTGTACATAATGAATTACATTTAAATAAAAAAAAAATAATAATATCTATAATCTAATCTATAAAAATAAGTAGATTCGTGGTATAGATCGGACTAATCATTCATTAATGAATCGCTAATTGCTGCTAATTAATTGATTCCAAAAAATCTTTTATAAAACCTTTTTATTTGTTACCCACACTACTATGGCTAAAAAACGATAATCGATATCGAGTTTGGAACTAAAATACGTACGAACTTACTATTCGAGTTCTATATAAATTTTTTTCGCCGTCGCTCGCCGCGTCTGTCTGTCTGACCGCGATAAACTTAAAAATTAACGGAACGGATTTCAATACGGTTTTCACCAATAAGTAGACGAAATGATTCATGAGGAAGGTTTAAGTAAGGTGTTATGTAAATTGGTAAAGGTTTTATATACATATATCCTAAATTACTTTAAACTAAAAAAACAACTAAGTTGCATATACTATAGATCCTGTTTTTCCCGACTAAAAATCTTTAACAATACCTTAAGAAAAAATAACCAACTCAGTGTAGCCGTTCTTAAGTAATGCGATTACCAACGATTACTTATACAAATTTATTTGTATAAGTAGATATAGATTAAAAATTTGGTGGTCCTATTATAGCTACCCAATCAATTTTAATAAAATTTATCTATATTTACGGGATAAAAAAATCTCTCATGACGGATGTATAAACATAATATGTTTAAAGTTTTATGGTAAGCAGTAATAGAACTCTATCCTCTCGTTTTGAAGTGACACGCTGATGCGATTATAAGTTGAGCGAAGTAAGGGTATCTTGTTAGTTTTAGTACATTGTTGTATTAATTTAATTACAAGTACTAAGAAGATGTCCGCCAACCCGCACTTAGCTAGCGTGGTGGACTATGGCCTAATTCCCCTCTAACTGAAGGGAAGCCCACCCTCAGCAGTGGAACGTTCAAAAGGGGTGAATACATACTAAAATGATTACACAAATTGCATCTAATCAGAGTCTCTCTCGTGACCATGACTAAAAAGCTGTTGTAAAGCATTCGAAACGTTGAGAACCAAAAATCAAAATAAATTCTCGAAAATATCCGAAAAGATAGTTTTATTTAAAATGTCAAATATTCGCGTAAATCTAAGAAAGTATTATACACCTACTCACTCATAATTTTGATAGAAATAACGATGGATCATAAATGATCGATGATAATGATCGTGTCATTTTGAAGATATAAATAATATATGTTTATTAATAAAAGGTTCATTATGATAAACAATATGCGTAATGTCTATGTTTAAAAATATAACACCTGACGCAATGTTTGTTATTTTTAAAATAGGATATATCATAAAATTTCTTTACTGTATTCAAATTCAAAATTCAAAATATCTTATTCAGCATTAAATTTTTTACTGAACGTCATGAGTCTACTACCAGTTCGGAAAGAAGAAGCCTCAGACGGCAGACCTCAGAAGAACTGGCGAAAGAAACTCAGCGGGACTAATAATATTATTTCATTATCTTTTTTTATAAAGTTAAATTATAATTTACAGCGATCATTTCATTCCTAAGGTGTGCCATCTTCTATAAAATCATTCATTGTATAATAACCTTTAGCACGTTCACAAACGTTCTTTTATATATATTTTTGAACTTGGCGATAGAAGCCTTTTAAACATTTTCTGGGATCCTGTCGTACAAGAGTATACATTGTCCATAAAAAGAATTACTGACTCTGTGTACACGAGTCACAGGCATTACAAGTTTGTGTTGGCTCCTAGTATTAATTTAACATGTATATGTATCGTGAATGTACTTTAAATTATAAGGTGATTCGTATGCAATAATAATAATGTTCTTCTGACCGATTCCGGTCACGGCGGCCAATCTCACTGAGACTAGCCAACTGCG